AAAGAAAAAAAAAAAAATCACCCCATCAAAATATTATCAGTCTTGCAAAGAGAAGCTAATCCTAGCTTCAGCAGTGATGTAAATCATTCCAGAAGCTAATGCTGAGAAGAACCAGCTTTACCTATGCCCATGAAATTAAAAAGAAAATAGCACGTGAGGAACAACCCCAAAGCCAAAAGGAGCTTTCCTACCCTGGGAGGTTTTGCATTTATGGGGAAAAGCATGCTAAGGAGAGGCGTGGTCAGGTTGAGAGGATACAGAAGGGCGGAGGCTTTGACGCTGCTCCTTGCTGTTGAAGCAGCAGCCACACAGGGCCCATGGGGGGGGAGGGGGATCCAGAATAAAGACCACTGCCTGGGGTGGGGGTGGGGAATTTAGGTAAAGGACAGACATAGGATCAAGTGATGCTCCCCTGCTGCGGGCAGGGGGAGGGACCTGTAGGGCAGCAGTGGGGTGGTCATGGTTCCAAAAGTATGAAAAAACCCAGCTCACACTTATTATCATTAAAAAAATTCTTCCTTTTCCTGATGGAAAGCTCAGGTGGTAAGATACCCAAAATCAGCATTATTAACGAACCACTAATCTAGTAAAGTGTGCTTTTGACTTTGGGAAGGTGAGTGCCTCATTGTAAGAACAGGCAAAACTCAAGAAAGAAAGATCCATGAGGCTTTTAAAAATAATTAAAAAATCACAGCCAGTGGAGTTTACTGGGACAACAAGTATAGATCTTTTCTAATTCAGTAGGTAAAGATCAGCCATTGGTTACCAGAAAACAAGGGTGGGAGCCAAATCTGATATTTTACCCTACGGTTAGGAATGATCTCTACACAGAAAAATGTAATTTCTTGAAATAATGAAAAAAGAAAATATATTTCAGCATTAGGATAATCTTATCATAAGGCCCCCATCCATACCAAGGAATGCAGGATTTTCCAGGTTCAATAAAAAAATTAGACATTATGAAAAATTATTTGATTCTTAAAGAGTCACAAAGAAGGTTAAGAGTGTTTGTATTTATTTATTGACCATGAGAGTAACAACAGAAGCCAAGCCACCCCCCTGCACAAACAGTTGAAAGTTTCCAAGTGGAGAAACTCCCTTTTGTAATTTCCCTCACTGTCAAATAAAACAAAAAGTAAAAGAAAAAAAAATCAAATAGGGACTTTTGAGGTTCAAGTTTAGGTGACAAAAGATGCTCTGATGCTGCGATTCTGCCTGGATTGAAAGACAACGATCTGGTCCAGGCCTGAGATTAACGATGCCAAGGGTGGGGAGTCAGGAGCTGGAATGTGTAGGAGGCCAGTGCACTGGGCCAGGGCTGGGAACTGCTCGGCTAGAGAACGACAGGGTTTACTTGCCTGTTTGAATAATCTCATCTCCATTTAGGACCTGTAATTTAACACAGTGGAGGTATCACTTGCAACAGTAACTAGGCAGCTGCTCGCTTCTCAGAGGAGGAAGCCCTTCTCTGTTCTCCATCTGAGTCACATGGAGAGATCCTGGAGGGGGGTGAAAGGTGGCACAGTCCCTGGTCTGATGTTTGAGAAATGGTCCCTTAGTACCATCACCAGGATCCCCATGGCCATGCTACAAGGTTCAGGATGGTGGACCTGCCCTCACCAGTGGAGTGCTCATCCTCTGTTCCAGTTAGAAAGCGGCTGGCCCAGGCTGGTGACATGAACTGACTCAAGGAGACGGAGAGGCTGAATTCAGGGATAAGCCTTTCCTGTAGGGACACAGGGCTGCTGAGAGAGGTGAAAACCAGTTCACTGGGAATCTGGTCTTTAGAGTTTTGGGAAATGCTGGGCTCAACTCTAGTATAAGGAGAGACGCTGTATTCATTTCAGAAATGTTTTTTGTACTACTAGTGGCACCAAGGAAGATGTCAGGGATGCAAAAGTATGGGTTACCTCACTGGGAAGCTTTCACCCCCAAACATCTCTTCATTCTATAAAATGATGCCAGAAGAGCTGCTCTGCATTAAACACTTGAGATGTAAGATTCCTCCTTACAAAGGAAAGAATCCAATACAAAAAGTCATTCATTACAGAGGGTGCCAAAGGATGTTCATAGTCTCCTGCTATAATAAGGTTTTAATGTATCAGTAAGACAACAGCTGGAACTGGGAAACCTACCTTTTTAGGAGATTACAATTTTTTTAAACTGGCTTTAGTGTTTGGTTTGTGCTGTGCATAGTGCAGTGGTTTCCATATGTGGTCCAGTGGATTTCCCAGCATTCTTTAGGGATCCCTAGTGGGCCTCTGGTAGAAAATTTACTGTATAGTAAAGCCTATGTTGGAATCAGTAATTGATGATATTTAGCCAGCTTTGGTGTGATGTGACCTATTATTTGAGACTGGTTCTTGTTGTTGAGTGGTCAGTAGGAGCAACTAGAAACTGACCTATGGAAGGTGCCTCTAGTTTTACCAAGTAGTCCATGCAATCAAACCATTTGAACACCACTGCCTTGAGGGATGGGCACAAAATATTATCTAGTTGAGCTAGACCACAAGTCTGGTGCTTTGAGGGTAATATTTCTCCCATTCCTGAACAGTGCCACACTCCTGGTTAACTGACAGAAGGTCGTTGTTTTTCAGTGCTTTTGAGCCCTGATAAATCCAATTCCTTCTCTTGCTTTCACCTTCTATACCTAGGACTCCTGTTTCATACCCAGTCATCTTGCCCTAGATGTCAAAACAGGGAGGGGGGGTGAGCTAATGATGAGAAGCTGATGATGAAGTTGTCTTGATGAACCACCGAGAAAGGGCAATACTGCATGCAGAGCCACCACTATGACACACCCACACTCCCTTTGCTAACTGTCTTAGGCCAGCTGAAATTATTAAAATGGTCTGTTGTAACTTATTAGAACTAAAATCTTTCCTGGTGTGGCTATTAACAGAACTCTCTTTGCTTTGTTTTGTCATATTGAAAACTCCAAAGTGAAAACTTGCCGACACTAGCTTTCCTGATTAAACTGCTCTCTTTGTCCAGGCTCTTTCTCTTAAGCATTTGGGATGAGTTTTTATAGTACGTACAGAGAGATGGCCTTGTCTCCACTACCCTTCCCTCACCCACCCTGGGGATACCTAGAAAGGTTTTTTAAAAAGAACCAAGTAAGATAATTACAACAGAAGTTTCTTCTGCTATTCAGGGGGTCTAAATATTCAGAAACTACAGAGTTCAAGAGTCCAAAATATTCTGGGAGCTATGCTGACAAGAGAGCATCACAACCCACTCGACTTCCAGGTCAGGTGTGTCTGAAGGAGTACGAGGCCCATGAAACATTCTTCCCATGGCTGTGCTTTCAGCCTCACCCCCAGTGCCTCTGAAAAGAAAACTCCATCCCAGAACCTAGACTGAAGGTGGCAAGTGCACATTTGAGAGCATGGTGGGCTCTAACACAGACTGACTGCTGGCTGACGTGCAGAGAAGAGAGAAGAACATGAAGTCCTTGCTCCCAATTTTATTTCACAGCTGAGGGATATGGTATGTGCTTACGGGTGAGAAATGCCAACCTGGCTGGGTTGTCTTCAGGGAGGTGACACATTCAGTGGGCAGACCAGACATTTTCAAAACCGTACCTGCCTTCTGTGATTTGTTTTGCTCTAAGACATACGACCAAATTTGCACTGATAAAATGAAAAAGAATTAAGGAACATTTTCTGCCTGCTGGATTTTGTTCTGATTACTGATGTGTCCCTGTGAGGTACTCTTGGCAGTCATCACACCATTGCTGTCACAGGTATAGGCTATAGTGAGCAGAGGCCCAGACTGATTTCATGAATAGAAAGAGGCACTGCAAGCACAGCCAACAAACCAGGGCAACCAAGCAAATTCCAAGCATCGATGCCAAGCCCTGAACCAAAGGAATAATAGGGAAAGGTACCTTTGACAACCCTGTCTGTCCCCTACAGTTCCACTTCTGTCTGGGGATACAAGTTGATGGCACAGTGGAAGTGACTGACAAGACCGTGAACATCACAGCCAAGCAATGGTCAGTGGAGGTCACAAGCCAGACACATGCAGTGTACTTTTACCCCCTTAGTGAATGCCCTACTTTCCATAAGGAAAGAAGTAAAGCCCATCATGCACTAGGTTGAGATTTGTCAAGCAACTGCACTAAGCAAGCTAATACTTTGCTGGGTTAACAGATTTGTCACCAGTGAAAGAAAGAAGTCAGAGGTCACATAGAAACTCTTTTTAACCTTCAAAAGGTAATGCCGAGAACTTTTCAATGTCCCATTTTCCAGTACATGCCTTGGCATTTGCAAGGTGTGGGAAGTCAGGAAATGACAGTTAATACAAACAAGTGCCTTCTACCAGATTCTCAGCCTGCTTACCTGTGCATCGATTATTTTCTGCTTTGCATCAATAACTGCTTGCATCTCAGCATGATCCTTCTTTAACTCTTCTTCCACAGCCATCAGCCTAGAACATGGCAGGAAGGACACATCAGCCTCTTCAAAGAGAGGGCTACATAACGCAGAGGACAAGAAACCCACTCTTCATAGTTCAACACTGCCACTCCTTCCCCATCAAAGATCTGAAACCACACGCTCTTTCTTCCCTCCTACCTTGGAAGACATCGGATGTTAATTTCTCTACCTGTGACTAGGTTGCTCATATTTTCATCTCCTCCGGGACTGTATTCTCATATCACTTCCTCCCTCATATCCTTCAGCACAACTTATTTCATCTTAAAATATCCAACCACTCAACAAAACCCAACCAACCTTCTCCTAATCTCAAGTTATCCGCGACAGCTGTCCTTTCTCTTCCCTGTACAGGTAGGTCCTCAAAGAGGTCTAGTTTCTTTCTCATCGACCACTCACATCTTACCCCACTGATGTTTAAACCCCATCAAACTGCCCTCTGTAAGACTGTACGGGTGAAACAACAGACCTTTTCTGTCTTCAGTTTACTTGACCTCTCCTCAGCACAGTGGTTATGCACATGGACTCTGGAACTTGACTGGCTTCAATCCTAGTTGCACTGCTCAGTGACCTTGGGCAAGTGACTTAACCTGTTGCCTATTTCTTTACTTGTAAAATGAGAATAATAATAATGCCTACCTCAGAAACTGGCATTAAACAAATTATTATTAACAGATTAAACAAGTTATTATTTGTAAAGGACTCAGAAATGAGCCTGGCCCATAGTAAGTGCTATGTGAGTGTTGGGTAAAACTGACGCTCCCTTAGTCTCCCTTGACATCCTCGGCACTCTCTCTCGGTTCTCTGGCCCTAATGATGTCCAATAAAATCCTTTCTCTGTTTTTGGACTCTTTTGTGAAAAACTAAGCTAGTCTTGGACACTGAATACTTAGGTTTTTAAAACCCAGTTCTCCTCTAAGATTCAAATGCATCATTAAGTTTTTTTTCTGATTGTTATGATGAAAGAAAACAGACCACCTCTATCGTCAAAGGAAGTACACGAAGGTCTCCCATTTAGAAAATTTTAAGAGATATGGTCAGTCATCACCTTTGTGCTAAGCACCACGAGCATATGCAGAGCTGCAAGTGGTGCTGCCGCCGTTCCTACAGGAGTGTCTGCCCCCTTCCCACCTCTCTGGGCGCCCGGCTACCCGCGCCCGGCGCCAGGTGGCCCTGACCTGCTGATGATGCTCTTCATCTGGCTGTCCTTCTCCTCCTGCTGCCTGCGCAGCCGCTCCTCGCTGTCCTCCAGCCGGGCCTTGTACTCCAGCAGCAGCTTCTGCATCTGCTGCTCCTGCACCAGCAGCCGGCGTTCATACTCCTCCAGCCGCCGGCTGGACACTCGCAGGCGCTCCTTCAGCTTAGTGATTTCCTGTTCATACTGGAGGAGAGGAAAAGAGTTTCATGCACGGGTTGCAGAAATTAGTGATTTGCTTCTTAGAAAAGAAACCCGGGGCAAGGTAGCTGGATGCCGTCTGAACTGCCATCCCATGTGCTGCTGAAGTTCTTGTAAATTATCAACAGGCTCAAATGGCAATGGAGCTCTGCCCTCCTCCTAAAATTACATGTGTAATGTTAACTTGGCACTCAAAATCTATATATTTATTTGTCTCTCTGCATATTAAACTACCAGCTGCTGCAAGCTGCATACAATCTGTGATGGCATCAAATGGGAGCAGGAAAATAAAATGATCGAGCACTTAGAAGCCTGACAAATCACTTGAAAGGAACCAAAAGTCAGTTGTTGACAAGAGAAAAGGTTCTGTATCATTGCCTGTACTGTGGGGTCTTGGGCATGACTTGGCTCATCAGATTGCCATCCTTCCCTCTACTGGAATCAGCCCTGCAGAAAACAAGCAACATTTCTATAATGTCAAACTCTACTAAATCAATAAACAGAATTTTATGGCAGAGTAGACTATTGCTCCTTTTTCTCCAAATATAAAAGCATAAAATATTGAGATCACAAGCATTAAGCCAAAGGCCTACATGCTCTCTAGGGCTGATCACTACTGCCCCTTGGCCCATTTTCACGATGTGGTTCACCTGCCCACTTTGTTTCTTCTTTCTGGAACACGGAGGTCTTTTTCTTGCTAAAGCTTTATATAAATAGAGCTTTATATAATTCAATTGGTTATATGGCCCTTCCTTGTGCTGAAGTTGCTGTGGGTGGGGTCTGAGTACACTGGAACGTCAGACTTCTAGGTGAGGTGAGAAGCATAGGCTTTCTTATAGATGGCCTACATAGACTCATCAGGAATTGGTGATAAATCTGTAAGGCACTTTGTAGAATGCAACCTATTTTCACATAATGTCCCATTTAATTGATAATCAGATATTTACTTCTGCTTATTCAACAACATGGTCCTAAACGATGCTGAAGGTCAAAGGTGACAATTTTTAGGACACTCTGAAGAAGCATCTGCATCAGTGAGTGTGTTTGGGTCATGCTGATAGGTAAGCAGAAGCGAGCTGTCTGGTTGTTAGTCAAATAAGATTAGGCCATATATGATGTCAAGGTTCCTGTTTGATATTTTTTTTCCGTGTCAACTTTTGTTTAAAAAACAAAACAAAACTGAACCAATAGACAGTTAATGCCTTTTTAAAAAATCATCCATAAAGCCAGAAATTCTTTACCCAGAAAAGGCAAAAAGAAAAAACAAACAAATACAAAATCATTACCAAGATAGAGAAAGAAAGTCTAGTCCAAGGGAAGTTCTGGCCTTGGATGAAGACTACCAACCAGTTTATAGAAACACTAAATAAGTGCCTACGATGACTAGAAACAAATAGTATTCTCCAAATTAAGGCAACCTACATTAAAAAAAAAAATAAAAAAATAGAGCTAATGCCCTCTACCCCAGCTTGATGGATGTTTTCTGCGTATTTCCACATAAGGACACTACCAGTTATTATCCACAGGCATGCATACGATGGTTAACATAGAGCTGGTGCTGGAGCTGGGGAGGGGCACATCAGGTCCCTGGCTAGACAACTTGTCTGCGGTCTGTTACTGGTGGGGCAACACATCAGTAGAGACGGACTCAGCCCTACCTTCTCAGCGTGCTTGGCTTCATCTTGATTCTGCTCAGCCTCCTCCACGTCCTCTTCATACTGCCCATTGTTCAGGACCCAAGCTGCCGTCCTCTCTACTGGGGACATTGTGGCAGAGTCCACAGGTGACTGAACCTGCATCAGAAATACTTATTAGCACCTCCCAAGGCTGCTCATCCACTAGTTATGTTTGACAAAGACAGCTATTCTTGGAAGACATAACTGTGATCCCTGTTTTCTACTGTTCAGTAGTAGTTTGAGATAAAGTAGCTACTAAAATAACAACTTTACTGTTTGGAACTTATTACATCAGGCAGCTAATTCGATAGTTTTTGTGCTTTATACAGTTAACAAGATATTGCTTGAATGAACTTTCTTTTCCTGTGATTTGTTATAGCAACTATTTGAGTGCCTCTAAATATACTGCAAATTAACGAGAAATTAGCCCCTAAAAGCATTAAAAACAACAATTCGCTCAGGTAATCTCAGCTTTAACTGTTAAATGAGAAGATGTAAAAAAAAGCGCAGTTTCATTCCACTGGTGATGGTGGTAGTTACCCTATCTTCAGGATTAGCAATGTCCGGTGAATTACGAGAGACTGTACAATGGGAACTGGGCATTCAGGTCTAGTTCTATTTCATTGGTTGAATCTGATTTTCAGCCGCTTCCTAATATATCCTAGCACCTTGCCTGACATATGGTAGGTGGTAAATAACTGTTGAAAAAAATAAATGTGACCAATATTAACTATGCCTTGTACTCATGATAAAACCTTTACACAATTATAAAGAGATGAAAAAGTAATATTGAACAAATCAAAATTAGTTATTGTGTTAGATTAGAAGAAAATAGAGGTGATTTTTGTTTCAAAATTATATGGAAAAACCTACATACTGTTTCTTACATTTTTTTCTATTGGTCTTAAGTATGGTCTTATTTCCTAATTAGATTGTCAATCTTTGAGGCATGGCACCATATCATATAGTTGTTTTTTTGGGGGGGAACGGTAGTGGTTATATAATTGTACAAAAGGTGCTTCATGAAATATTTGTTGATATCCTGGACAGAATTCATTACTATAAGTTATTACTAAGGGGAAGGTACACTGCTTTTCCTCTAACCCTCCTAGTGATAAACTACACTTTACTGCCACAGAGTGATAAAGTGTAGCAAAGGCTCCTCAAGAATTGTTTCATCTCTTTTATAAGCTGGGTAGACAGCAGAACTTATTACCTCCCATTTAGAGTCAAAGACATTGAGAAGAAAGGTTGGTGAGCAGTTCAGATCCCACTTTGCTTTGCTGTAGCCTAGGGAAGAGCTTTTACAGCCCCCGCCTTTCAACAGCGGATCATTAAAGAAAATAAAGGATGAAAAAAGAGAGAAAGTAAAGGAGTAGAAATCCCTATTAGGAACATATCTTGCTTGAGATAAAGCTGTATAGGGTTTCCCTGGGAACAATCATAATGCTTTAGGGCAAAAGTGTCTGAGACAGCAGTTCCGCTGACCCCGTAATTAGTCATAGCCTGGCTATGCTGAGGACAACTGAGAACAGGCCAGCCCCCTGGTTCCTGGCTAGTATTTACTGGATATAAATGAGACTTGTTGGTTTCAGCTTCTGCACAGTCTGAAACAGTCAGGTTCTCATCAACAAATAACACTTCTGCTATCAACACCAAAGAAGGGCGGACTGAATTACTAAGCAATGTCTGAGAGTTGCCACAAGAGGTTGCTTAGGGAGGGTCAACAAACCCAACTGTGCCAACTACAGCATCATTCCGACAGGCTGGTCAAGTACCAATTTTAAGAGCCTCTTCAAATTTGAATTTCTGAGTTTAGGTAACAAGCTACATCTCAACTACTCACACAATGTAGATAAAGTCTATTATGGGTACAGAGTACATGGTGCACAAAAAACAAAATGAAGAGGAAAATGAGAAAAAATAAATTCGAACAGAGTCTGAAAAGGGACATAAATGAAAGTTCCCTGAAAAAAATTCCTTCTGTAGATTGTTTCACTGGAATTTTATTTCCTTCCCACTCAGGAGATGGAGGAGACCGAAGCTAGTTACAGTGCCAACAATGGCCACTCCTTTGTGCTCAGATACAAACGGAATTTGCATGGGACAAAGCCACTGATAATTGCAGCCGCCCACAGAACAATCTCCACAAAGAAATCCTCTGGTTTTGGGTAGAGAAGAATTCTCCAACACAATTTGCAATTAAAATATGTAAAGGAATTTGCCTGAAAAATGCGCTGATTATATAGAACTTCAGCGGCTTCATGGGAGTAAGATGAGAAAAGCTGGCAAGAAACAGAAGGGATTTTAAAAAATAACGTAAGTTCAAAAGAATGAATCATCTGCATAGAAAAACCCAGTGTAGAAAGACCAGAAACTTGAGCAATCGAAATATAATGATTTATGGTTTAACTGATATGAGGACCAGTTAACTGATAAGAGTACCGGCAAAGGCATAAGCAAAGGTGACTGAAGCTGTGCTGGGACATCTCACTGTGCCCCGCCCCGCTTCATGCCAATACAATAGAGACATTCTCCAGCTCATTAACGGCTGTGACAATTTTAAACTGGTTGTTTGGAGACTGGATAAATTTCCTACCTCCCATCTATCACCCATAGAAACATGTACTGAGTGCTTATGTGATAGTGTTATATTTTCCGATAGCACAAATACTATAAACGACGACTGAACAACCAGTGAGCCACGGGCTCTGGGAACTGATGACTGCATGATACAGGAGGAATGGGTAGGCATTCCTCTCTTTTGTCCAGGGCTGGGCCGAAGTCACTGGTCACTGTCAACCTCAAAAGTAGAGGGCCCTTCCCTGTCCTGCCCCTCTCTGCCAATCTGATATCCTTCTCTAGTCCCTATCTCACCCTCAGGGCGCTCAAAGTGCACTAAGCCCCCTAGTAGGTAGGTGTCTGCCTCTACACAGTCAGTATCCCACCTCTAAAATTACTTATCTTTCTTCTCTTAAAGATAAACACTTACGTTCTCTTAAAGGAGTTCTCAACTAGAAGCTAGCATAAAAGCAATGTGTGGAAACTAATTCACAATAAGGTGTGAATGACTGGTAGCCTCCTAACTGGCAAATTAAATGCATATATATGAGATATATACAGACATATAAGCAGTTAATNGACTCAATAAACACTTACGTTCTCTTAAAGGAGTTCTCAACTAGAAGCTAGCATAAAAGCAATGTGTGGAAACTAATTCACAATAAGGTGTGAATGACTGGTAGCCTCCTAACTGGCAAATTAAATGCACATATATGAGATATATACAGACATATAAGCAGTTAATAAGCATTTTCATTTAAAGAAAAGGAAAACTATATATTATTATATAATTTTTATTTTCTTTAAGTGGAAATGCTTATTAAATCAAATGAATTGGTAAAATTTGGGGAATGCAACAAAATAAAAATGAAAAATTTAAGACTGAAGAAAATCTTTATTTCTCAGGAAAGAATGACTAACTAGGGGGCTTTGCCCAGGAAGTCAGCTACCAGAAGCAGCTGAAGTTGGACATGTTTCTCATCCCTTCCTTTTTTTCTGTATCCAAGGATTCTGTACATGTTCTAATTTTTTAAACAATAATGAAAAAATAGTTATTAAAGTAGGTGCAAGGGCTCTGATCACAGTAAAGTGGAGGCAGAAGCAGCAAATTATTAAATGCCTATCTATAAAAATGCAAATATATTAAAGAGATACATTGGGGTTTTATTGTGTTCTCCTCTGATAAGTTATTTTGCTGACAAAGGCCTTTTTTACATCACGAACTCCCTAGTACTTATAAAGTATGATTAGGTTTCAAAAAAATTCTATAAATACAAAACTTTTCAGGAGAAAAATCTTTTACAGATGAAAGAAAGAAATTTTCTCTCTCTCTTTCACTCTCTCTCTCACATACACATTCCTAAGGTTATTAGTTTGTTTCAAAGAACAAAATATATATTGGTGCCTCGTGGGAAACCTTTTCATCAAGAAGAAAAGATTTTGTCAGTCATATATTAAACTGGACGTGATACTAGCTGGGCTTGTTGATGGAAAGAGAAAATATAAGGCAGTTGTGAATGTCTAGAATACCTGCCAACCACTTGGGTGTCTGTCTTTCCCCCCCTCCTTCACTTTGCCTCTAGGTGCTCAGGTGCTTATTTTTCTAGCCATTTCCAGGAAAAGGCACATGGGGTTGATATTTCCATAGGGAATTGGGGAATGGAGCGGGGAGTAGTTATATTAAACTCTCGGCTCAGAATGCAAAACTTTATTCTGGAAGTTTAAGAAAAAATATTTAAGGAGGATTAATATCCAGATTCCCAAAATACTTTCTAGTTGATTTGGCCTACAGCTTTCATAGGCTAAGTGTCTAATTACTCATTCAACACGACAGATCTGTTCTCAGTGCTGAGTGAAGGGAAGGAAAGGCTCCTGCATGGCTGGTACAGTGTCCTCAGGGTGGTGAGCCAAGCTGCATTCTGCTGCCTCACATCACCAGGAGTCTCCCAGACCTCTTATTTCCTCTTCCTATTTAATGGTGGCAGAAATATTTTTAAGTGGAGACCTTGCTAGCCACTGGGTTTCCCAATGATTTCTACACAAAGGCCCGAGGAAACAGCTGGACGAGGTAGAAGCCAGGCCGCCCAGCACTCGCCCTACCTGCTGCGTCTGCTGTCTCTGGATGGCTCTCACTTTGGGAACAGGGCTCTCTCTGGAGGAAGAGGACTGCTGCCGGGACCGGCTTCCGTTCTGCACAGGCTCGGCCACCAGGGCTGCCGAGGCCACCGATATGCTCCCCGTGCTCCGCAAGGAAGCACTGTGTGGCAGGGATGGCAGGGCTTTGGCTCGGGCACCCAACCCGGCCTGGTCCATTTTTCGGATCTGGGCCTGCCCAGTACTATTCTGCCGGGGCAGGGCAAGAGGTATGTGTCTGTCTGGCACAGGGTGTCGCCTGGAGAAGTCCTCGCTCTGAGTGCTACGTTTGCTGAAGTCCTCCATGCTACTATTGCTGGGTCCGCTGACTTTGAAGTCTTCGCTGTTACTTTGGCTTCTGGAACTGGCAGTGCTTAGGTTCTCCAAACTGGAATCCACGGAGGCCTTTGGCATTGCTGGGATTGGGTTACTGAGGTGATAGACGGGGTTCTGGAATGACAAGGGCTGGAGGCTGCCCGGCTGGTTCAGGGCAGGGTGCAGGGGCCTCCTCACTTGGGGTGCGCTCTGGGGTGTGCTCTGGGTGTCCCGCAGCTGCTTGATGCTGGCCACCTGGGTTATGGAGAGCTGGCTTCCGGTCAGGCGCAGAGGCACGTCGAGCATGACGGACGCGTGCTCCACCTGCGCAGCGTGCGTGTCCTGGAGGTCCATGAGGGACACGCTCCGGCCGTTAGGAAGGCTACCTTCCTTCTCATCCTTCTCAGAGTAAGTCATGCTCTGGGAGGAGGCCTGCTGAACCAGCAACAATGTTTTCCCCCTGAAATAGCTGTCTGTGTTGTCCTGGCCTGGAGACTTTAGTTTATGCAAATCACTGGAAAAGGAAAGGACCCTTAATTACTCTTGAGACAAATCCAACATAGTTAAGATTCCTCAATGCAGGCACCTAAACTCTTCTGAAGGCTCACAGGCCCAGAGTGGATACTAACATCTAACCTCAGATTTCATCACTACCATTCTTAGAATAAAACCCAGTATTTTTAGTTTTTCTCCAAAGGTGGAGAATACTACTGTGTGTGCCACTCCATCACTGTCTTTGACTTGTACTAGAATTCCAACCATTTTCTAGGTAGGTTTAAAACCCTTCCAAGGTATTCTAATTCATACTTAATTTGTTCAAGGAGAGGCTCTCAGTGCAGAGCCCAAGGGTCCATGCCAAAGACACAAATCTCGCCAACAAAGAAAACAAAGTCTAAGCATCAATATTGTGTCTACTGACCAGCTGACACAGCCAGCTACAAAGTGGTCTTAACTGAGGTTTTCCAGATTTTTGAGTGCTACAATATATGAAAATGTCAATTTCATAGAGCACCTAGTCTTCCATTAAACAGGACATAATTGTTTTTTAAACATACATTTGCTAAATATAACTACAATATCACTCTGGAAAATAAGTACCCTAGATCTTATGTATTATTATGACAAACAATTGGATTTATCTCAGGTCAGACGATTCTTTCCAATTGTTCAAGACTTTAAAGTTTGTAAATTCAACAGATAAGTTAAATAGATTTTTGCCAAATCTCTAAACATTATATCTCTGGGACAGTACTTCAAATTCTCTCTTTCATACCTGTCAGTGGGGTCTTCAAATATTTTCTGCAGCCCAGAGGAGAGGCTTCCACTGACATTGGGACTGGAGTTATGCTCAGTGAAGCGTCTCAGTTGCTGTTGTATTGGTGTGGGATTAGTCAGAGACTTGGTGATATCAGCAAGAACACGAGGGAGAGGTCCCAGTTTTGCCACGGTCGCCTGTAGGAAGGAATTTTCACCCTAATTGGATAATAAGCATTGCGACATCCACAACAGATTGTTTTTGGGACCATGATGCCCATTGATGTAGGGGTGTAGGTTGGAGGGAAGGGTAGGTGTTTGCATGTGGGAGTGGCAGGTTCATAATGCATTGTTATGGAGCAGCGGAACCATGGCGTCGAGATGGATGGAGAAGGCGAAACAAGGTGCAGCAGACATCGAGGAAAGAAAGGAAATAGAAATTAGGATTATGCAAATAAAAATTAAAAGACATGCTCAAAACAACCAAAATATTGCCATTCCAACTAAAACAGGCATGCAAAGCAAACAAAATCTTTGGAAGGCTAGTAAATCAAGGTGGGGGTGGGTAGGGGAAGCGCCAAACACCTTCTAACCAAAAAGGACTTCAAGACCAGAAGGCTAGTGTGACAAAACTTCCAAAGAAAAGGGATTATGTAAGGAAAGAAATGCATGCCAACATACAGGAAGGTGTTGCATGCAGGGGTCTAAAACACTCCAGGACACACTATCCCATTTAATCTTGGGAACCCTGACCTATTACTGCCAACTAGGTTGGCATAAGCATGATCATTTTTTTAAAAAACAGAAAAATGAGGTAAACTCTCTCTACGAAGTATAATGTACTCCTGGTTCCCAGGACCAAACAGAGATTAAAAAGGAGAACGTGTGTTTACACAGCAAAGCCTGTTAAAAAGACCTTGACCCTGAATAAATCAGGCTGATTTCACAAAGTAACTATATCTGCATCTCACTGATACAGTTATTCAACAAAGAATAACTTTTAGTACTTGCTTTATCCATCTCGGTCATTTTTTATTTTGGGGAGTTCTTATTCTCATGGGGTCTTATGGGACCGCTCAACTGTTGGGCAGTTTTACATGGCTGCCTACGGGTCTTCTTTGCTTTTTCAACAACCAAAAGGCTCTTCAGCCCTGCTTAAACGCCACCTGGGGAACGTCTTTATGTGCTTTGCCTGCTCATACTCAAGGGGTTTACCCTCGGCACAGTTGCAACTTAAAGTATAGCTGGCATCTCTACAGGTGTAGGAGGGGTGCTCAAGAATACGGACGCTTATTATTTTACAATGCCTTCAGCAGCAGTGGACACCCTGCCATTTACATTTACCCCACTCAGGAAAGTGGTCTTTATTAATAGGTTTTACTCTCCCCCCCAATATTATTAGTACAATATTTTTAAGAATAATAGGAAAATGGAGGAAAACAAATTCTCATCACAGAAAAATAACTGTCTTCTGAAGTTATTCTAACATACCACCACACGTATTTATAAAGTACCTGTAGCAAACAAAAGAATCAGTAAATCATTATTGTGATAAATCTAGCCTAAGTCTGGTGAGACTATTTTCCACTACAAAACCTATTCCTCTCTGCAAAGTTCCATAAGGAAGAAAATGATTGGTAAACATCTAGTGATTAATATGAAGTTCTAATTAAAATTTAATAAAATTCTTAGCTTAGAAAATAAGTGATTAAAAATTATAACTGTTTTCTGTATTAATTTACATCTACAGAGAAAGGATCCCATGTAACTCTGTGGTACTAGTAGTTCTATTAAACCCTCTGACTTGTGTAACAACCACCAAAACACGTGAAGGGTAAAGCTAATTAAACATGATAGTCGCAGTACATTTTGAAGCTCACGCTTTGAAGCTAGAAACTGCTACCCGAGGCTTCACCTCATCCTACTGCACGCGAACAAGGCCACATACACCAACATTTGATACGACTTTCTCGGCAAGTTCTTACATATGCTCTACATACTGCATTTACTTATTTATTTACTTATAGAAATCTATACTCCGCTAATGCAGGTAATTATTTGAAAAAAATATGTAAGTAATTTCGTGACTTTCTGGAATTTCCTGGTTTGTAGGGTACATATTTCACTCAGAAATGACACCCATTTACTCTGAGACTTCTAGGACAAAGGTTGCTTTCGACTGCCAGAAAGGTGAGTGCTACTACCCGGCAGATGCTCTGCAGAATCCAGGCCCCTTCAGGTTCCCTATCTCCCATCTCCCATTACTATTTCAGCCTACTTTACCTTATCAAGTTGGGAAACTACTTCCCACAGTAAGGAATGCAAAACTGAAAGCTCCCGGCCCAGGTCAATGTAACCATCAAAGCCTGGGGTGTTTGAGATGGTGTCTGGATTAGAGATCTCCAAAAGAAAGCGCTTCATTCCACCCCACTCATGTTCTAAAAAATCATTCATGAATGCCATGTATTCTTCTTTGTTACCAAATCTAAAGCAGAGGGAGAGAAAATGAGAAAGAACATATTCAGGAAAAGAGAGGTGATCATTTTGAATTGACTGTCACATAGAGCCATAACATTTTTTTTATTTTGGGGAGGTGTCTAATATGTTCATTATCTGTGAGTGATTAAATGCTAATACATGATTTCTTAATATTAATAATATTAATACTCAAAAACTTTCAATAGCTTTCTGTTCTCTATTGTGTAAAGCTAAAACTCACTTTTCTTGTATTTAAAGCTCTCTGTAACATAACCTTCATTAACCTACCAAATGTTCATCAGTATAAACCTTCAATATTACTTGCTTCTTCCCAGTTTCCCAAATATATTACACTCTCTTCTCCAGGCCTTTGCTCGTGTTATTTACTTCTGCTAGAGAAGCACTTCCTCTCTTCTTTGCCTAATTAGATTCTAGTGATCTTCAGGGCCTAGCTTAAGCCCATAAAACTTGTTCCAAAATAAACCAGAAATAGTTTTTACCAAAATTAGCTCAAATATGGGTAAATACATATGTTTCTGCATTGGGTTACATATAGGGTATACAAAGTTAAAAGCAGTGCACTTCTAAAACGCCACTATTTAAACCAGAAAACAACCCGTCTCGCTGAAGTTCTAATTTTTTCCTTCAGTACGCTGATAATAGAATCTTGTCTTTAAGCTTCACTATTGAGTCTGTTGTGATGAATTCTGCCTGTGTGAAGTCCCGCTCAGTGATTTCTTAAAATTATTTTCTACAAATTATAAAAATTACACAAACTGAGAAAAATTTGAAAGCAATGATAAATGGAAAGAAAAAAGTGTGGGTGTACCCATTCCACCACCCGAATTTATCTGCTGTTTACATTTGCGCGCATTTCCACCAACTGCTTTCCAATGTCCTTTGAAAAAGTTTTAAATTTACCCAAAATTGAAAGGATATGCTTCATCTACATTAACCAAGTGTTAACATTTTGCCAAGTTTGCTTTCGCTCTCTCTTTATATACACATACATATACTTTTTTTTTCCTGAACCATTTTAAACTAAATTGCAGGCAACCTCTAAATACGTTAGCACCCATTTCTCCAGAATAAGGAATGCCTCTTACATAAACCAATGTCATTATAACACTAAAACTTTTAAAATTTAATTTCACCAACTGTCCCCAAATGGACTTTATTTATAGACTTTTTTCTAATTTGGGTCCAAATAAATTTAAGCAGTGCATCTAAGTCTCTTTCAATCTAAAACAGTCCCTCCATCTTTTCCAGTTTTCACGACATCAACTTGTTTGAAGGGGCCAGGCCAACTGTCTTAGACAATGTAACTATAGATTCGTACGATTATTCTTCCCAACTTGTTTATACTAAAGTTTTTGTGTTTTTATGCTGCTGGGATAATAGCATATGCACCATTTAATGTCCTGTCTTTTTTTTGTTTTGTTAAAGTTTTTAATAGCCATTTTCATTTAATATAATTATATCTTAATTTTTCATATTATTGGCTATTCTTTGCAAACATTGTTTATAGTGGTTGCAAATGTTCTTCTGAATGCATGTACCCTAGGTTCCTTAACCATTCCTCTATAAAATGAATATTTAAGTTGTTTCTAATTTTTTTGCTATTTATAATAACACAATGAAAATCTTATAACATAAGTGATGAGTATCCCCACCCCCCCCCAAATTTTAGAGCTCATGTAATTTTTTAAACAATGTTTTTAAAAAAGTGGTTATGGTAGTGACACCTACTTGGCAAAGTTAGCCAGGTTCTGAATGACCTTGGCAATCAGAGTCAGAGTCCGAGACGTGCGGTCATCAGGATACTCCTGCATGAGGTTGAACAGGCTGGGAGACATGATGGCCGGGCACAGGAAACGCAGAAACAACGAGGCACTGATGAGCCGCTCACTGATGTCCTGCTTGCCGCGGTTCAGGCACTGCTGCTTCCAGGATGCAAACACTTCTTTCAACTCACGAGGGAAAACACTGGGGAAGGAAAGAAGATCAAAACCTCTAAATAACCCAAGGACGCACAATCGATCTCACTCTGGCCCAGCACACCTCCATTCCAGAGCCAGGCGATGAGGGCCTAGTGGGAAGAGCTCTGTTTGGTTCGAGACTGAGAGGTGGCAGAAAATTCACAGAAGCCCAGATGGAGACTAGAAACCCAAAGCTGTAAAACTCAGGAATTAGTATAAATTTAGTTTTCCAAAGTGGGAAAATGGCATAAGGCTCCTGACTACACCATCTGGTTTAATAAAGATCACCATAATCTCTCTAAAGATTGTTCATCAAAAATCTTCCAAAATCTCACCAACTACTAGAGTTGGAGCAATGACTGAAAACAATTAACACATGTTTAACAACAGTAAATATTTTAGAAACCCATTAGAGAATGCAGTGCTAATATTCCACATAAACATTGTATGTATGTATGTAGGTAGTTCAGAAATTCTTCTGCTTACAATGGAGAGTTAGATTTTAGGCAGGACTGTATTAGGGAAACTTTCAGTTTTCCCCCCTAAGCCCTTCCTTTGGCTGGGAAGTAACAGTTAACACTGTGATGCCTTTTATACAGAAAATGGAAGTTCCATACGTGCTGATGAAGCACGGACACCAGCTCACCAGTAAGAGTTGATGATCTTGCAGAAAGCCAGCTCGCAGCACATTTTCAGGTTGCTCTGATGGTCTATCAATTCACTAGATGAACATTTGCTGGGATCCACCTCACAGTTCTCATCTGACTCATACAGAGCTTTGATGAACTCCCCTGTTTGAAGAGAGATGGCAGGGAGTAGAACTATAAATAGTGTCTTCCTCAATAGAACAAAAGGACTTAGGATTTCTGTCCTAAAATGCATAATGAGAAATCTTTCCGAGACCTCACAGGGAGGATACAAAACAGTGCTCATGATGATTACTGCTCTGGAACCCGAGTTACCACTTCCCAAATATCATGCTTATTTTCTTTATCCTGGAAGTGAAAAACAGCAATCACTAACATCATCAGGATGGTATTTATAAAAGTAACAATGATTCTACTTTAAACAATGAAATAACTTTAAACCTTTCACCTGAAACCATAAATAAAGGAACATGAACTAATTATTTGTTATAAGGCCCCTCTACCAGGGTGAATAATGTTATTATCTTAGAAGAAAAAATAACCCACACTTGATTGACTAGCCCACCTAAGGTCTTAAGTGCTAATACTGGTATCACACATAGATTTGAGTAAGGGTGTCTAGATCTACCTCTCGTAATGGGGATAGTCATTCAATATAATCTGTACCTGTTTTTCCAAATACATTTAGCTTAGAAGCCCTGTTCATACATCCTACCCTCTATAGGAATATGCCCAATGTTCTCTGAAAGAACAAATCCTTACCTTACTTGTTTATCTGCCACCATACCCTCATATATTCTCCTGATCCATGTTTCACACTGTTTTTTGCTTATTTGTTCACATGTCTGTCTCATCTCTAAGATGAACACCTTCAGAGGTCAGGGAACAGGTTCTATTCATGTTCAGATCCCCAGCCTATCAAATAGCTCCCAAAGCGTTGCAGGTGCTCAATACATATTTATGAGAGCTGGAAGTATGTGTTCTTGGTTTTTTATAGGCCTTTAAGAAAGAGATTTTTCAAAGACCCTTTCAAATCTGCTTATATTACTTGAGTTTCAGGCAAGTTATAATAGATTTTATGAAAGTAAATAATGATTTCTAGAAAATTAAGTAGCAGCAGTAATATAAAGAGCATTTTCCTAGCAAAATGGTTAGTAATGAGGTAAATGAAAGCTTTTAAAAATACCTATGAGAAGAAGATGGGAAGTGGTTATGTGGAAGAAAAATGCCTGGAGAACAGAGAAGTAAAGGCTTTGGAGCCAGACAGATCTGAGGTCAAATCCTAGGCCAATCACTTAGTCTGTGGGGCCTTGAAAAGTCACTTAACTAGTCTAAGCTTCAGCTGCCATATTTGGAAAATAGCATGACTCTCCCCCTACAGAGCTGTGGTGAGAATATGAAATAAAGCATGAAAAAAAAAAGTGTCTAATATGGTGCCTGGCACCTTAGAGGGGCTCCATACAATAAGTATTGTTATGTGCAAATTAGGCAACTTTAAAATAATTTTTCATAAAGTAAAATGACTAACACTACTAAAAGGCTTCTAAAAATATTTACCAATTCTCAAAAGATTTGTATTCAACATGCTCTCAAAGTCTCCTATGCTATGTGTTTCTATACAAAGTATCCTATTTAAAGAGCACCTAAATTTAAAGCCAAGTCATTACTGTTAAATACTACATGTAAAAATTGGCCCACCTTTAGAGTCATATTATAAATATTCTATTTAGGGAATTCCTAAGGTTACACTAGTTCTGGGGAAATAATACTAATATTAATAAATAATTTGTGAATTTTAAGAATATTTTTCTTTTATTCTCCAAGAAAAGAGACAAATAACTCAAGGGTCCAGAAGTAAATTATCTATAGTTGCAGCCTAATATGCTTTTCCCCGGTTATGGTATATTTACAATCCTCCAAAACAGAAAATTATTTTCACTTTTGAAACTATAACCTATGTCTGACAATGTGGAAAGCACCACATTTGAAAGGTGAACCTTTTATAGGTGTGTACTCAGAAGCTGCTTACCCAACCAAAACCACTGAGGCAGATTCAACAATCCATTTACATTTGCTCTCTTGCCTTTGAAAGAAATCAGAGCCGAAGGGCGTGGGTGCTCACCTACATGGTCCAAATGGAAGTTTGTGCCCAGAATGTTCTGTGTTTTCCATGTAAATTGTCAACTCATTATTACCTAGCATCCAAATGTCATGTGCAGAAATAAGTTAAAGGTATTGAACATATTACTGCTAAAAAAGAATTTGTCTTTGTCACCAAGGATGTAAATCAGGCCTTTTTAGGGACCCTTTTCTACTTCTCACAGGCGGGTTATTTCCTATGTCACAGGACATCAGCATGCAATCTGATTTCAATCAGAAAGGTAAAGAGGGCCAATAGATGGAAGATTTAAGTCTAACCAAGGCAGAGCCTATGTAGTAAATAGTAATGCTTTAATCAAGAGAAATGAAGATTACATAATATACCTGGTAACTTTTAATTTTCTTTGAGAATTCTTTAAGTAGTCTGGAAATAGCATCATCCCCCCCCGCCCATGTATGAACTATATAGCACAACTTTAATTATTCAGAGTGCTCAGCTATACTTATTAATTTCTTTTTTTTTGATTTACTGAGATTTCACTGCAAAGTCTTTTTATTTTATTTATTGCTTATTCTGAAATCTTCAATTGTATTATTAGAGGCTCCTGCCATAACATAGCAAGTACAGTATCAGGTAGAATCAATTTCTTTAATTCTTTGAAAAAGTACATGATTTCTCTCTTTTTTGGTTATAGGATACCTCCCTGTACTGTAAGCTCCTTGAGGGCAAAATCTATCCACTCATTCAACATTATTTACGGTCTACTCTTGATAGTCATATGTGCTACTGAACACTTGAAATGAAGCCAGTACAAGCTGAAATGTGCAATAAATGTAAAATACACACTGAATTTCAAATAGTATAAAAAGGTAAAATAATTTTTACTCATTAATTTTTACACTGGTTACCTGTTAATATGTGGACATAATGCATTAAATAAAATGTTATTAAAATTAATTTCACCTGTGACTACTAGGGAATTCCAATTACTCACATGTAAGTCTATTATGTTTCTATAGGATAGAGCTGGTCTACATTCTGTGTGAAGTACAGGGATATGGAGATAGAAGTAACTGACTATGTTCTCCAAGGAACTCATGCCTGTTTTATCATGATGCACACCGAAATGCGCGGCACAATGCCTTACTTTAGTGGTTGATGCCTGCAATTCCAAGAGTGTGGCCGAGTCAGCAGGAACTACTGAGTGACCAAAAATCAGTTATTGTCAAAAATTCTGAAGGTCTTGAAGACAGAAACTGAGAGTTGTGGGAATTGGCAAGAGTTTCCTAGTTTTTGATGCATGATAATAAATGTTAACACTTTCAAGACAATACATTTATACCATGATATAAATACCCAACACAGTTAGGGAAACAGGCCACCCGCAGCAGTGACACCCACTAGTATTACTGTGTATCTCAGACATTGAGGGCCTTGGGGTAGCTGCATATGCTGATGGGCTTTCTCTTTCTGTGCAAATCGTAATAAAACCCATCTGCTGTTCCTCCACTGGTGAGTATGGCAGAGACTTCTTAAAGCCGAAACTCAAATAACACTCTAGTTGGCTAGGCCTAAAAACACCCAGTTCAGCTCAATTTATCTCAAAAGGATGAAATAAAATAAAAAGGGGAAGACAAGGACACGTTTTCCCTCTCCATACCCAACGCGTCATGAAGATACTGTTGTCCCACCAACTTGAGGTACTCCTCAATGGACTTGGTGGCAATGGTGTTCTCTCTGAAGATCAAGACATCATGTTCTCCACAGCGATCCACCTCAGACATCACCAAGTCCGTCAGGAAATCCTGGTAGAATAATGTTCAGTCAGGCAGAAAGCAACTGAATAAATAATATACATCAGAAGAGACTGATGAGATAGCAAACATCCTGGGAATCCTGCTTTAAAGCTAAAGCTACCAGATTCATTTGAAAGAAAAAAGGTGAGTCAGGCTCAAATCTTAGGTGTCACCACCACTAAGTTTAAAATTCCTTCACAGAGTTTTCCACTGCACTTTGATAAAGACTGTAACTCTGAGTGCAGCCGGCAAGTCTCCGTATGCTCTAGTTTCTAGCCTCTTCTGGTGCCGCTCTCTTAGCATTCTGCACCAGGCTCAAGGGCGTCCTTTACTGGTCCTTGACTACACCAAGCTTGGTAACACACAGTGCCGTCTGTTCACCACAAACCTTGGTGCAAATGCTCTTCTCAGTTCTGCTTCACTCCCCCCATCATTCCCGCCCCAACTGTCATGGAGTTAATTCCTGGCATCTTTTTGGATCTTAGTTCACGCATCCTTTCCTCAGTGAAGCTTACTCGGACTAACACTGCTATGAACCCCATTAGTCAGATCTCCTTAATCCATAGTTCATAGCGCACTTCTTGGCATTTCTCACTGTAATCACACATTTTATTTCTGTAATTACTTGATTAATATCTATTTCCCCCAAAAGACTGTAAGCCCCATGAGGTCAAAGACAGTGTCGATTTTTGTTCATCTCTATATTTTTAAGCACTTAACAGTTTCTGTACACGTTAGGTATTCAATGTCTAACAGTTACAAATTCGTCCACAGTATCAATATGGAATTTCTTGAACTCAATACTTTAACTTATTTTCTAGGTAGTCTGTTTGCTACCCCTTCATCCCCAATCCACCCATGGAGAATGAAGGCATAATGAGAAATAAAATCCTTAAGAAATAGCTGCTTCATTTCTCAACAGTCTTAAAGAACACAATGTAAAATTCAATGATTATTGTTCAGTTTGAAATGTGTCAACATCAAATATTTTTAATGTTATGTATCATTGGATATATCAAAGTCTCTAAAGCTCAAGAACAGGGAATATTCTGATTTACTTTAAAATTAAACTTTTTTTAAACATTAATGGGATTTACTCTGGGGCACCTTGAGGGTGTAAAAGAGTTGTAGATTTAGGAATCTCTATTAAAACTCTTAGGCTAAGGGGCAGGAGGAAACTTTTAGGAGTGACAGCAACATTCTGTATCTTGATTGTGCTGGTTCAGTGAGAATATCAATTGTCAAAAATCATTCAATTTCTCACTTTAAATGGGTATAGTTTACTGTATATAAATTACACCTCAATAAAGTTGTTTAAAAAATTCTACATTTATCCTGAATTTTGAGCTACTAAAAAGCAGAAAGAACATACCCTACAATTTCAATGACGACACTCAGATTTCAATGACAACTCACCCCAAATTATTGAGCTTTTTTAATGCCAGAAACCAGAAGATTATTATCAGTAAATCTAACTACAAAAATTATACTCAATAGGAAGGCAGTTAGATAAGGGACTAAATATTGAATATATCGGCATATTCTAATTTATATCAAGAAAGCTTAATAGCACTTTTGTAAACAAATTATTCTATCTGTGAACTCCTCTACATCTGAAATACAATTTTACCGTGGCCAATCTGTATATAATAGTGATTCAGCCTAATTAGGGGAATGTGGCTCATAGAAGTGGTAATTACTTTAGTTCAGGCTGATCCAAGACTATCATTCGCTTGTTGTTCTTCATACAATTAGCACATTTCCCTTTTTTTAATCTTCCTAAATTTTTACTTCTATCCAGAATGAAATAAGATTCACAGTATACCAATTATATAACATCTCTTGGTATTTTTATCCCAAATATAGATTTTAATCCCATGAGGATGCTTGTTAAATATCCAGCATGCTTCTGGAATCCCTCCTTCTGTGACCAGGGGATATGTCATCAGTTAATGTGAACTTAGACAAGATACAGTCAGGAGTAAAACTGCCACAGGACACACTCTAGGACTGAAGAAAAACAAGCCTGAATGCACTGTGGGATCACCTCGCCCGTGTTGCCATGTATTGTCAGACAATAGAGAACTAGCTGTGGTCTCCATCTTCAATGCAAATGAACCTTAAATAAAGATTTGTCGTCTCTCTGCCTTACTCCTTTCGTTTTTATAATCCCCATCTTTTCTGGATGTAAGAACTGCTTATGGGTTTCCTTCTTGGTTGTTTTTTTTTTTGACCATTAGCAGCAAGTGCTTCTCTAATTTGGATCTCCACAGTACATGCTGGTTTCTCCGTGAAAGGCAGGGAAGAGAATCTGGGTAACGTAACCCTCCTTTCCACTTACCTTGGCCCTGCCAGTACTCTGTAGAATGTGCACTAAGGCACAAGCCAGCTCCTCTTTGTTTCTCACACTGATTACTGGCTCAAGGACAGAACACAGCATGGTGTAGTTGCTGGTGACAAATTCTGCAAATTCTTTGTATTGCTCCATAGGCAGAATGGTGATAGTTTGGAAACGCGATTTAATCCGAATAGAAGGTCCTCCTGTCTTTCCTTTGTTGGGTGTGGGTGTGCTCACTGGATACCACTTTTCTACAAACTGGCGGCCAGTCACGCTGGCAGTGGGGATGTTGACGAGCCCTACGTAATTATTCTTGTCTTTCTTTTTCCTTTTTTCCACGTCTTTATAAATGTGAACCGTGATGCTATGAAGAGGTGGAAGGCTGTAGAATTCAAAATGTTCACCCCAGAAAATATTGTCCGCTTTGGTCTTGCTGGTTGTACGAGCAAAGAGGGTATCATCAAGGCACAGTTCACAGAAATATTTCTTTTTAGGGGCGAGGTCCTTGGCTTCAATGATCCATAAACGGAGAACATTTTCAGCTCGTCTGCAATTGTCCTATAAAGAAGCAACAAAGCTGAGTTTGAGAGCTGAAATCTGAGGAAGACAACATTTTCTTTTTAAAATAGGTGATGCTGCTTATGTGCTTTATTACAGGTAATGAATAAATAATGAAAGGGATTGTTATCTTGTTGTTCAGGATAATAGGGAGCTGCAAACAAGAATGTACCAGAATCTTAGAGAGCCACATATGTTCTATTTTACTTCGGTTAAAAAATATCGTTCTGTAATATAAGTTCTCATTAGGCCGGTCTAGAGGCAACTGGGCTGATGTCCACAAATAAAAAAGAGGTAAGTAGTTAAGAAACGTGTGTTCTAGTCCCAGTTCTATCATGTACTGGCTTCTGATTTGGGCAAGTCACTTTACTTCTCTGAGTCTTCTTATCTACATTGGTAAAATCACGATAATATCCGCAGTAAAATTATTTTCGACATAAAAATGGCATAATATGTATGAAATGGCAAATGTGTTTTAAAGGTTCTATAAAAAAAATAAGGTATTATCACTGCATTTATCTTCTATCAATTTACTACTTATAGAGTTATTCATTCTTTAGCCACTCAAAGCCACTATTACCTTATTTGGTTGAACTGTCCTGCGAAGGTTTTCCATCCACTTATCTCTTTCTGAAGCGGAGTTACAGCTGAAGCATTTACTTCCACTCAAGTAGGTGACCTTCGACATAAAGGTTAGAGAGAAATAAGGAAGAGAAAGCACAGGGCTTGAGGGCTCTAGTTTGCTAGCTGTATTATTTACAAGTTAAGGATGTGCCATGAACCCAAAGCACAGTACAGGAAACCAGCTTTGTGATTTCTACACCTACGTCTACATCCACTTTTTGCTTTGCACCCTTACTCATCTCCACGTGTGACAACAAAGGCCAGTGAGAATTCAGCCCAGGAACCTAAATCTGTTCAGAAAGATCAACGTTTAAAACCTTTCAGGATACATCTTAAATTACCTGCAAATGAAAATGCTCAATTGTGTGACAGTTAAGAAAGAATAACTAAAAAGGGAGGAGTGTCTCTGAAATAGCTTATCCAATTTCTTGGGACTGCCTCTGAGGCATCGAGCTCTACCCCCCCCCTTCTCCGTCTTGGCTGGAACATCCCAAACGAGACCTTCACTGACCACCTGTTCCCCCACTTCTCTTTCCCCAGTTTCCTGTAATTGGAGGGGCCAAAAAAAAAAAAAAATCACTATCTGGACAGGAGAGCTGCATCAGCAGTCATCCTGCCAGCGTCAGAAGCAGAGGACCACCCAATCCCCTCACCCCTTGCCCAAGTTTAATAAAAACCTTCCACCCAGACCCCATCACCACGTCTCGTTCTCTGAGACTGCCCGCTCTCACTTCTCAAGTGCGTACTATCATGTTAATAAATTTACTGTGCTTTGCTAAATCTTTCTGTCATGCTCTTGAATTCCTTCTTATTCCATGACAAGGACCTGGATCAGGTTGAGGCCTCCCTTGGCCTCCCAGCGTCACCTTCATTATAATGTTATAAGATGGTACTAAATGAAATTGAAGAGAGTTACGAGTATTGGATCACTGTCTTTGGAAGTCATTTCTCCTCCACTAGGCAACCCACCTGTTGATTTCTAGTCTTTATGAGGTTAACCTGACCACAACTATCACTGCCCTTTAAAAATGGAACATGTGCCCAGCTGGGTGTGGCTCAGCAGTTTATCCTCGACCTAGGATCCAGGCGATTGGGGTTCGATTCCTGGGTTTCGGGCTTGATCCCCAGCAGGGGGTGTGTAGGAGGCAGCCGATCAATGACTCTCTCATCATTGATGTTTCTATCTCTCTCCCTCTCCTTTCCTCTCTCTGAAATCAATAAAGATATATTTGAAAAAAAGAAACAAAAAAAAAAGAAACATGTTACCTATATGCCTAGCACCTAACACTGGGCTTGGTATACAACCTGTTGAACTGAGTTTCAAAAATACAGAAAAGTTCAAGTGACTTATAAAAAGAACACTAACGAGTGACCTGTCCAAACTGCTAAGTGTGCTCACATATTAATGCAATCTCAGGTTATAATCTAGTAAATTAGATCAGATTATATATTCTGATCTAATATGGTAGCTACTAGCCACATATGACTAGTGAACACCTGAAATGAATGGAGCCAGTCCAAACTGAGATGTGCTATAAATGTAAAATTCACAGGAGATTTTGAAGACTTAGTACCCCCTCCCTCCCAAAAAAGAATGGAAAAAATATCTCATTGATAATTTTTATATTTGTGACATGCTGGAATGGTTAAGGGCAATTTGTTCATTTAAGACATCAGGCACCTGCAATGTGTCAGGGACTGGGCAAGGTGCAAGGGATTATAAAAATAAATAAGACATGGTCCCAGATCTTAAACTAGCCATGTCGTAGTTAAAAAGGTACATTTTGGTCAGTTTCCTCAGAGAATCACTAAAATTAGGGCTTAGACTTTCAGGAGAAAAATAATAAGGCAGTGTGTGATATCTTTGCCAATACTAAAATACTAAAATACTAATTTAATATTATTGTTAGTCTTGAGGCCTCTGCTGAGAATGTACTAAGAGCCCATTTATTTTGAAAGCAGATTAAGCCAAAAGAAATGAGAAGCCATCAGTAATAACTTTAATCACCAATATAGTTAGATTAGTAGATTTCCAAACCTTTTCCCTGTAAGTAGGTAATTTCTAATAACTGAAAACCAGTGAAGATGATCGAATCATCAATACCCTAGTAATGAAATCACAGAATTATTGGATAGAAAATGTGCTTGTGGTTCAACTACTCTTCCTTCTTTCTATACTTTTTTTACCTCGAAGCAGAAGTCCTGCCCAAGGATGCTGCTGTGGAGCGGTTTCACTGATACGGGCTCCCCTCTACCAAGGTCCAGACACTCCACTGCGCTGCACGGGCTCAGCAAGGACTCGTGGGAACGGGACTCCTTCAGTTTCGGGAGCCCCCGAGACCTGAAACAGAAGGAGATATGTAGATGGTGTAGCTACGTGGCCAACAAGGAAACGACGGTCCAATGCAACAGGGGCTGACAACAAATGTACAGGTGACTAAGGAAAACACAGAGGAGCAAATCAGGAGTTAACCTGTAACGACAACAGTAACCATATTTCTGTGGCACAGATAAACCATACGTATATTTGTGTGTACACACACGCACGTTGTTTTTTCCTCAATAAAGAATAACAAATTATAATTTTACTAGTCTCAGGGGAGCTCAAAGCTCCACGATAGGCATTTTTACCCTCACCTCTTTCTGGAGGTGGAGAAACATACACTATTCAAAGTTATCTTACATATTCTTGTTTATACAAAGGAATTATCAAAAGACATGTTATACGTCTACCCTCTTCTATTACTGATAAAACACACACACACACACACACACACACACACACACACACACACACAGAGTCAAAGGCCAGCTTTTCAGCACAAGGCCCTGCCTTTCACAAGGTCTGATTTCCATCTCAATATGACATTCTTTTCTGGGAAGCTTTTGGTTTTATCCATGCTTTACTGTATAAATATGAATAAAGAATAAAATGCCTTGAAGAAACCTCCCACTCACAAAAGAAATGTCCAAGCTCTCATAGAGAAGAACAGCTCTTTGTGAACACTATTCAGGCATCCTGACTGATTCTGTTTCCTAGCTGTTTGAAAAGAAGGCTGGGAATCATGACTCTTGTCACTACAGGAGCTAGAACTTCACTACCTTCCCCTTGGGAGAAGTGGCAAAGTCAAACAATATAAAGCACAATATTTTTGAATCCAGTAATAGATAGCCATGCAGTTTTACTCAATAATTACAGTATTTATTGACTGAAACACCCAGACTTTTATATATATGTATATTTCAAGCAGAAGTACCTAGTAATAGGGATAAAAAGAAATGCCTTGTGTAAAGACTTTTTTTTTTTGTAAAACACACTAAATAAGCAGCTTTGTTCATTTCCTTGAAATAACCATGTTAACATTAAAAGGAACTGAAATATCAGAAATCAGAGTAGCTTTCAGTTAAATTGTAAAGTAATGAGATACAGGAAAGTAGCATTAAAGGCTGCTCTTTTCCTCTCTGTTTCCATTCTATCATAGTTTAATCAAACTCCATATAATAAGAAAGATCTTAAACAATAGGATTTTAGTCCATTCTTTCCATATATAAAAATCCAACCACCATTTAATGTTCAGACTAACAAACGTGTGCTCCGTTATTCAGCAGTGTTTTTAAGGTCAAAAAGGTAATAATTATATTTACTATTGATAATACAAAGTATGCACAAAAGCCAACTAATGTTTTGTACATAAAAATATAACAATGTAACAGCTCCACATTTATTTCCTTTTGTTCTACTGGATAAGACAATGACACGTTATATAACACAAAGATAGCATAACAACTATAAATGACTAAATCTAAAACAATTTTACTTTAATGTAATTACCATACAACTTTCCCTATATCCTTCATAGGAAGCCTGGTTGAGGCAACGGGATACTGTAATCTTTTTAAAATATACAACAAACAACAATTCCAGCCCATTTTCCCAGGAAGAGCTGTTTGGAGGGGAAGAGCCTCTCATACTCCGGTAGTGAGCCTCACAAGAGGAAAAAGGCATATTTAATACAGAAGAAGGGATGACAAAAGGCTCACTTTTATTTTTAAAATTCTCCAGGAAAATATTCTAAAACAGAAATTTTATTTCAAACAAAATAAATGTCTACCTACATGAAGCAACTGTACAGCCACCTGGCAGTGCAGCCCCAAAGCATGGCGGTGCCACATGTCACGGTACAGCAAGTCACTTTCTGAACTCATCTCAGAAAACAACTCTGCTTAGGAGACAAGAACCAATAGGAGATGGTTTCCCTGCTGCCTTCAGTTACTGATAACATCTTTGGATCAATGTTTTCCACGCGTAATTTCAAGTCCTCAATAGAAGCAGAACAGAAAGACAAACAACAGAACGTGAAGTCATCTTCCAAACAGACTGCAGGGTAGGTGATACTCCTTTTTCTCTTCCTCAGGCTGCACCAGCCCCTTAGGTAACACAAACAAGGTTCCTGGGCTCTGGGCTGGGCCTGTTGCCATGGTGCTACACCTATAAGGAGATTAGAGCTGAAGGCAGCAGGGAAAAGCTGTGCCTTGAAGGGCTGAAGGAGCATGCTCTGCAAGCTTGACCATTTTAAGACAGAAAGAAAGGAGTCGCAAGGCCCTCACCCGCTCCCATTAATAATTTCTCAGAGTCAAGGGCTGTAGGAAAAACTGAGGCAACGTGTGGGTGAAGGGGAATCTCTTAACTCTATGAGGGAACAAAGCTGAGAAGCTTTAACTTGCTTTAGATATGATTCCCTGCCCCCCTACTAGAAAGTATTTGCTGCACCCCGCCCTGAAAGTACAATCTTTCACATCTGGTCTATTTTCTGCACAGTGCTTGCCCCAGTTTAATGTTTCTAGGTATTTTACATGAGCTTATCTGGGTTACACATTCTTTTTTCTTTTAGAAAAAGTTGGGTAAAATTCTTTATTCACTGAATTTCCAATGCTGAACAAATTTCATTTCCATACTCAGGTCTAACTTCCAAACACAGCTATAAACAAACTTTGCAACCAAGCCATCTGGAATTAGAATCCAAAACTCCTCGCAGTTACTGAAACGGCAATTATTAATACAGTTCAGAATCTTCTATTTTTCAGGATTTATGTATGTGTGTATGCATTATGTATGTGTGTGTGCACGTACTTACACCCACACAATGAACTGAACTCCGAAGTCACTAATATGCTCAATATTACTACTGAATAAATAAGCAAACCCTTCCTGTATTGGGAAGAAAGTGTCTCTGAGAAGACAAGTAATTCCCAGAGAAGCAGGATTACAGTAAACAGGAAGATCAAGCAGCCTGGGAATGGCTGGGGGCTGGGGATGGCATTATCTGCAAAAAGTATACATAATAGCATCAGTAACCTCAAATCCCCTCTAAATTATGTTTACCACCTCCTGTACCTTCCTAAGAAGTGATTTTTCTTAGATCTGCTAACCAGAGAGTTTTAGCAGTTTGTATGGCACTTCACTTCTCCAATGGAAAGCAGAATGTGAATTTGAGAGAATAATAAAAGTTTAAAACAATTTTTCCAGTCCAATTTGACAATGGCCTTCGTCAAGGAACCTAGCCTTGAAAGCGGACACTATGAATCCCTTGACTACTGGCCAGAGTTCTCACCCTGACCCCCAGCACTCCTGCCTCCTAATCTCAAACACAATGTAAAGATAATTCAGGGCTCCAATTCGACTACTTCTTGCTTGAATCAAGAAACTGCTTCCCAGAAGCAATTTTACTTTAAGGTGTTAAGTAGTAACACCATGTTTTTTTTACATTTTGTTTTAAGGTCAGCTAACAACCTTGATTTCTGTGTATACTCCAAGACCTCTAGCAATGTGATAGGTAAGGGTTAAAAATCTAACAGCTTTGCAGATGAAGATTACCTGGGGCTTCTGACCTATTTAAGAGATAAACTACGAGGCAGGAAAGGCTTCCTATTACTTAATACAGTGAGTATTATATTGCTTTAACCCATGTCCTTATCTGAAACGAGCCTGAAAAGACAAATGTGAAGGGGTGGAGGATGGGGAGTCCACACACAGACCATTCAATACACTGCCACTGATGAAGAAAAGAAATGGAGTCAAAGAACTCTGATGAGTGCAGTGTTAAGTAAAACACAGCTGGATTTTACTCAGCTTAACCGTCCAATTTTTTAAAAAGCCAGATTTTCCCCAAAGCGCCAATAGTGCTTGGATGTGCTAGCTCAATCTGCCACATGTTTACAGATTCAGCTCCAAACTTGGGAAACTTTTAATTAAAAATGCTTATTGCCACACAAAATCCTGTACTCCAGTGCAGGTGAATTTCTGCTTGGCTTGGCAGTCCTGACTCCAGACTGCTCCAGTGAATTCTTGAAGAGACAGCTCAGCCATAAGCTGGTGCAGCAATATATGCTTATATTCACCAGTATGCATTCCTACGGCTGTTTGCCTCGCCTGAAAATTTCCCAGGTAGTAATTAACAAAATTTGGTTATCCTAACACCAGCAAATTTACATGGGGTCTAATCATTTTTTAAAGCTGCACCTGAGATCTCACTTTGCGGAAAATGTAGCTTTACTTGTTCCATGATTTTAATTGTTTTTCAAACCTGATATCAATGAAAACATCCAATTGATGTTTTCATTTGAAAAAACAGATCCTTTCCTGTACTACAATTTTAAAGGCTTCCCTCCATGAATTAAGAAAGAAAGAAATTAAAGCTCATTCACCAGAGTTCTACTTGTGTGTCAAAAAAAAAAAAAGTCTTCCTAGCTGCACTAGGTTACCTGCTGCAGTTAAAGCCAGTCTCCTCTGCTATATTACTCACTGCTTTTATGTTAGCTTAAAAAAAACCCCACAACCAGCATACAAAAAGCTATTTATGGAAATGTAACATACTCTGCTGATCTTCTTCTCCCTGTTCTCAGTCTCTAGACAGGATGGTCTAATGAGCCCAGCTGCTAATGGTAAAAAAGGATACTTGTCAGCCTGAGTTGTCACTTAAAATGAACAAGCACATGGGAAGAAGATTTATCACCACAGACAAAAATGACATTCAAGCTATTCTGGTACAAATACACGTATACATACAATGAAGGTGGACACAGAAGGAAGACAAGATTATAAATATTAAAACATGTTCTGGAGGGCAGAAAATTCAACTAGCCTCCAATATGACAATCTCTTTACAGAAATTATACCATATTGTAATACACCACCTTTTTTGTCCTTACCTTGCAAATGGAATAAACTCTACTATGCCTATAAAACAATTTAATATAAACACAATTATAATGAATTAAAAAAAACCCTCATGAAACTAAACCAAACCATACTCATAAACCAACTCAACTAACATACTTACTAGTTAAAGGGGGAGTGAAAAGACTAATCATTTTCTTTCTCTTTTTCTGAATTTTGTTAGACTTTTAGTCTCATTATTGCCATAAAATTAAGTGTGAAAAGACGATAACAGAAGGAAAAACTGATGGAGTTCAATGACATTTACTTGTTAATAATTCTTAAACTCATGACTATTTGCTTTCCCATTAGTTTCTAGCTTGGTTGAATAAATGAACGAATGTGTGAATCCATCTACCCATCCAGTAATTACTTGGTGCGCAATGTGTCAGGCACTATGTTAGGAGTAGGTGAAAGAAAGACAATGGCAGGCAGACTCCCTGTAACTGGCTTGGCAGGAGCAACTTTGCAGTTTTGATTAATATCTTGAGCAAAAGCTAAAAATAATAAAACTTCTAGACAAAAACATAGGAGAAAATCTTTTGGGACACACACAAAAAACACCTATGAACATTGCTGGTGGGAATGCAGACTAGTACAGGTACTCTAGGAAACAGTTTGACATGTTCTTATAAACCTAAACATGTACCTACCATACAACGCAGCAATTGCATTCTTGTGTATTAACACCAGAGAAATGAAAACTTATGTGTACACAACTGTTCACGGCAGCTTTATTCAAAACAGCTAAAAACTAGCAACAACTCAAATGTTGTTCAGTGGGTGAATGGTTAGCACCCATACAGTGGAGTACTAGTCAGCAACAACAAGGAATAAAACTATTAATAGATGCAATCACTTGGATGGATTTCAAAGGCATTCTATTTAGTGGGGGGAAAAAGCCAATCTTAAATGGTTCATACTACATGATTCCATTTATAAAACATTCTTGAAATAAACCAATAGAGATGGAAAACAAATCAGTGGTTGCTAGGGGACAGGGATGGGTGGGAGACGTGAATGACTATAAAGGGGTAGAGCAAGGGGAGTTCTTTCTGGTAATGGAACAATTCTGTACTTTGATTGTGGTGGTGGTCACACAAATGTATACATAAGATTAAATTGCATAGCCCGGCCCAGCTTGGCTCAGCGGTTGAGCGTCAACCTAGGATCCAGGCGATCGGGGTTCGATTCCTGGTCAGGGCACATGCCCGGGTTGTGGGCTCGATCCCCAGTCAGAGGTGTGTAAGAGGCAGCCAATCAATGACTCTCTCATCATTGATGTTTCTATCTCTCTCTCTCCCTCTCCCTTCCTCTCTCTGAAATCAGTAAAGATATATATATAAAAAATTAAATTGCATAGAACTATAAACACACACAAATGAGTGTATATACAAATTGGGGAAAACTTAAAAACGTCTGTAATCTAGTTAACATTATTGTACCCATGTCACTTACCTGGTTTTGGTATTATACATACAGTCACAAGATATCACTACTGGGAAAACTGGAAGAAGGGTTTGCAAGACTCTGTGTACTATTTTTACAACTTCTTGTGAGTGTATAAATTCAAGATAAAAAGTTAAAGAAATAGTTCTTATTAGGAGATACTCAGGAACACCACACTTAGTTTTAGGTTACGTCCTGACAAAAAACAAACAAGCTTTGTCAGTAAACCTCAGAATAGAGAACATTACTTTGAAGGTTTTGATTTGAGGGACATTAGAAGAGGGTGAGAAAACTCTACTATATGTGTTTATCTTTACCTCAAGACTGGTGAATTTAAGCAGCACTTCCAGAGTAAGGTTGGCAACCTGACAGGCATTCGGAATCCTGGAATGCCTGACAATGCAGTTGACCACGGTTTTTCAGTATTTCCCAGTTTTTCAAACTTTTCAAAGTACATCTGAACAAAAGGCAGAACTATCAGGGTCTTCTATCCCAACACCCTCCCACATAACATGGCTTTAATGTGAAAACGCTGCCAATATTGATTCTAGGAAATCACTTTACTGGCTTTTACCTGATTAGATGGCTTTGGAACAATGATGACTTTGTGACATCCTATTGATTTTGCCTCTAAAATGTTCCTCCTATCTTGTCTCTGCCTCTTCCTTCTCACTGCCATTACCCTCCTCAGAACCTTCATTATTTCTTAGAAATAGCTTTTTGAAACTGGTCTCCCAAACTTAGTCTCTACAAACCAAGTCATTTGAAATTCCACTGTTGGATTAATCCATACACACAGCACAATTCTGATTAGGTTATTTCCTTACTAGAAAATGTTTAAAGTCTTCCCACTGCTTATATGATAAACTCCTGACTCCTCAGTCTGACATTCAAGGACTACCCCATGTACGGAATGTTGGATTGAAAGTAACTTCCACTCAGAATTTTTAAGACATTGCTCCACTGACTTCTGGTTCTCAATATTTCTATTGAGATTCCAATGCAGTCCTCCACTCCTCCTTCATATGTAACATACTCTTTCTTTCTAGAAGCTTTTAAGATATTTTTTAAGTCTTGGTGTCCAGATAGTTCATGATCATGGGAATTAATGTGTCTCTGTGTGTGTGTGTCTAGGGGGAGGCATCTTTTATCTTTTTCACTCACTGTGAGGGAATCTGGTGGTCTTTCCAATGCAGACTTTTACGTTTTCTTGTTTTGGGAAATTTCCTTGCATTATTTCTTTAATAATTTAATTTTCTCTCCAAAGGTTTTCTATGTTTTCTTTTAGTAGAATCTTCTGGGTTGATTTTTCTCATTTCCTGTTCCACTTTCTGAGAGAGGGACGTCACTTTAGCTTTTATATTTTTAATCTCCAGCTTTCTTCCTTGTTTCATTGGTGTTCCTTCTTGCTATTGTCTCATAGATGCACAATTTTATATTTTAAATATTCACTATGTTCTGAAGTTGTTTTTGACTCTATGCATTGTCTCTGTTTCTTTTGGGTTCTTTTTCCTTCCTCCTATTTATTTTTCTTTCATGCTGGAGACTTTCCTCAAATATCTGGAGAATCTTGACTATCTGTTTTTATTTAAGAGTAATGCACTAAAAAGCTCAATGGAAGCTTTGTGTACTTGAATGGAGCTTATAGACTAATGAGCTTCACTGTAGAGTGCTTCCTGGCTAGCTCTTTAAAAATAAAAAAAATTAACATCTTTATTGAGATATAATTCACATACCATAAAACTACCCATTCGAAGTGTATTTCAGTATACTCAGAGCTGTGGAATTATCACCACAATCTACACTTAAAACATTTTCATCACTCTAAAAATAAACCTCATATCCATTAGCAGTCATTCCTCATTTATCATCCCCCATCCCCACATATCTCCAGCCTCTGGCAACCATTAATCTACTGTCTCTTAAGATTTTAAAGATTTGCCTATTCTGTACATTTCATATAAATGGAACCATACAATATACAGTCTTTTGTGACTGGCTTCATTCACTTAGCATACAGTTTTCAAAGTTTATCCATGTTGTACCACGTATCAGTACTTCATTCCTTTTTATGCCTGAATCATATTGCATTGCAGGAATATATTTTGTTTTTAATCCACTCATCAATTGATGGACATATGGGTCATTACCACTTTTTAGCTTTTATTAATAATGTTGATGTATCCATCCTAGCACACACTCAACGATTTTAGAAGGTTGTTATCATTAGCTAGCTATGCATTTGGGGTTTACTCAAGCTGGTGGTCTTAATTATTGAAATCCAGGCTTCCTTTCATACATGTCTTCCAGATGTTACTGTAAAGCAGTAAGACCAATTCCATATGCTATACACAAAGAACAACATAGCAGTGAAAAGGGTGGACCCTGGAGCCAAACTGCCTGAGTTCAAATACCATTTGTTTAAAAAAAACACCACTTTTTTTAATTGATTTCAGAGAGAGAAAGGGAGAGGGAGAGAGAGATAGAAACATCAGTGATGAGAAAGTCATTGATTGGCTGCCTCCTGCACGCTCCCTGCTGGGGATCGAGCCTGCAACCCAGGCGTGTGCCCTGACCAGGAATCCAGCCGTCAGTGACCTCCTGGTCCATGGGTTGATACTCAATCACTGAGCATGCCAGCCGGGCTCAAACACCATTTTTGCCACTTACAGGATTATAAGAGGTTAACTTAAAATCTTATAGGATTATTATAAAGATTAAACAAGACAAAGTATATAAAGCTTCTGGTATAGTGCCCATAAAAATGTTAGCTATCATCACCATCCCTTGTAGCCATTCTCCAGAAGAAAGTCACATCTCTCTGACCACCAGAACTTGATTCTACAGAAACAGCACTATGTCTCCACACACTCTCCAATATTATAAGATTCTTAAGCTGGCTGGGTATTTGAGTCAACATTTTGGATCTTGCCTCAATATGAGCAAGACAAAAAAGTAAGTTTTGTATTGGATATTTCCAACTGTCACTGATGCAAAGTTAGAGATGACCAACATGCCTTATCAAACAAAACCCACTGTAAAACTGCTTTTTCTGTTTTAAGCAAGTTAACTTCCTACCTGTCATCTGTACTGCGAAGGGATGGAAGCCGAAAGCTCGTGTTTCTGTCAAGCTTTGATTGGCTTTTGGTCCTCTTGATGGAGCCTTTCAGGCGCTTACTGAAGAACCCCTAGAATGAAAAGACAGAGGCGATGGGAGAGAGAACCAAAGGGAACCCTGCTGTCTCCATACTCTTCTGCACTACCTTTGCAAATGATAGTCAGATTTTTATAATGAAGACCAGAGAAACAGAACTCAGCTTTTAATTTTTTAATTTGTAAATAATAGTTGCTTGAAACCACCGGGTAATGAAATCACATTTTTTTCCCTTCTATCATAATTGGGATAATTAAATTTTTTAATAACACTTAATTTCTTATTTCTTAAATAGTTTCTATACTAGCAACAGTGGAAAAGCTAACTCTAATAATAGATTTTAAAAAAAATAACAATATAATATAGAAAAATATACTCTTTTCTATGAAGATGGTGTCAGCAATTTCAATAGAAATAGCATCCAGTAATTTTCTGAACTGACTTAAAGGAAAATGGAAAGAGAACAGCATGTACAAACGGCCCTGAGGTGAGAAGGTACTTGGTGCATTGAGAGATTAAAAATAAAAAGTTAAGTAATCAGTACAGAGTAATATGTTGGTGGTCTCAAAAGTGTTAAAACTTGGTCTATATCAAGTTGGATATAATATTTGTAAAATTAAGTTTTACATGTAGAGAAACTATTTTAAAATGAAATAGGTATCATTTATAAAACCATCAAAGCACCTAAACCTCAGAAAGTCCGTTACAGTTTCTGGCCCCTGCTTGCCTCCTGCCTCTTTCCAGCAAACTCTCTAGGCTTCCTTGAACACCTTCCGAGTCTTAGCACCTGGCAAGTAACGGGCTTTCAATAAAAGTTTGTTGAATGAAAGAATAAACACAGGAATGAATGACAATGGTCACTGTTTTCAAGAAACAATTCTCCTGGTGGATGAAAGGACATCTCATAGAAGTACATCAAAATGCCTTGAGAAAATATTGTAATTCAAAGAAAAGTATTTTGACACATAAAATGACTCTAATCACCTTGAGATGACGATTATCTTAGAGAAGCTGTGTTCAGTAAATATTTCCAAAAGGAAGAAATGAAATACTGAGTCCATATCAGCATGTCAAACCTTTCATATTCTAATTGAATTTCTACAATATGTTTTTATTGATTTCAAAGGGAGGAAGGGGGAGGGAGAGAGGGAGAGGGAGAGGGAGAGAGAGAGAGAGAGAGAGAGAGAGAGAGAGAGAGAAACATCAACGATGAGGGAGAATCATCAATCAGCTGCCTCCTGCACGCCCCCTGCTGGGGATCAAGCCACAACCCGGGCATGTGCCCTGACTGGGAATCGAACCATGACCTCCTGGTTCATAGGTCGAAGCTCAATAGCTGAGCCACATCAGCCAGGCAAACCTTTTATATTCTTTTAGTTACCACCATACCCACTGTTTTGGGATGAAGACTGTATTAATCAGGATAAGCTAAGTTACACTTATCTAATAACCCCATAGTCTTAGTGGCATACAACATGCTATATGTCTATAAACAGGTCAGTTAAGGAAGTTGGGGGCCCAGCTTTATACTCTCCTGACACAGGGACTTTGGCTAAGAGAGGCTCCATCCATGTGCTTCTATACCTGCTGCAGCAGGATAAAGGAAATGTGACAAATTATGTACCAGCTGTTAAAATTTCACATCACTTCTGGTCTCATTTCATTGGGCAAAAAAGGTCACATGACCACACCTGACTTTAATAGGGAAAGGATGTACAATCCTATCATGTATCTACAAAGAGAACTGGAAATATTTAATGAACAGCAGTGTGGACTATGACAGTCCTTTTCAATGTTGAGTGTTTTGCAAACATACAGGCATTCCTTTCATTAGAAAAAATGAAAACAAATTTATTTAAATCGTAAGTAGAACCATTTTGCTGACTAAAAATTTAAAAAAAAAAGCTTATGTCATTTCTTGTTCTTGTACCCCAAAGAATAAGGGTAAAAGTTCCTAGAAAACAGCACCTAGACAAATTCCCTAGGCTGTTTTTATCCCCAAGGCTGATTTTTTATCATGGGTTTACAGAGATAGATTGGAGGAAAGAAAACAAGGCTGCCTTTTAAAGTACCATATTTCCTGGAGACAGGCATTTGTCTGGTCTCCTGTACAATTGTAGCATCGTTAGGGAAAGTCCCTGTCACTTGTTCTCCAAGCAAAGGCTCATTTACTTCTTTCTCTGATTCAGTATGGACTAGTCACCGCATTTGCTCAGAAATGTAGTGACAAAACAAACCTAGGTTTACAGAATTCTACTAGGATTTGTTTATGGTTGGTTCAAAAACCTCTCGCCTAAGCTAAGATCCAGCCCAGGGCTTGACCAAACATCATGTATAAATACATTCTAATAGAAACAGTTAAGCAGTTAACTGAGAAAGAACTAGTAGGTGTTCACTCATACAGTACTTTAACTGGACGCTCTGTGGCACTTGTAGTACACTTCATTTAATCCATTTATTTAATAAATATTTATTTATGCCTATTTGTTGTAAAGCAACATACCAGGTAGTGTAAGAGATTCAAAGATAAAACAAACACAAACTCTACCCTCAAGGATCTAGAAACTAAATATAAATATATATATATATATATATTTATATATATAAATATATATGACACAATTGTAAGGCACATGTTCTTAATACCTGGCATATTTAATCACAAAATAAAAGTTATCCTGTTTCTTTGAATCTAGCACACCATCAATTGTCATACCATTATTTTATGTATTTTAAGAAGAAAGCTGCCAGTTAACCTATAGTACAATGCTTTATCACTTAGGCCTTTTAGTTTGTATTAAAGATATTTTGAAAAAACTTATTTACGCAGATTTTGTCATATATCATAAAGTGTCTACATAAAAATATACACAAAATAAATTAAAGTAGTCCTAGTGCTTCTCCATTCTCTGAACTACTTTTTGACTCAGAAGAGTTGTTGTTCATGTTTTTTCACAGACTGTCACCCTGTATTCTTTGAGAATGTTGATGACAGAGCATATCTTAAAGGAGTAATCTACAGAGATGTTAAAAAGTGAAAAAATATGCATCTTAGAATTGATGAAACATGGTATTATTTTAGAGAGGTACATAGGAAATGATTTCAGGAATTCAGAAAAAGAAGAAGTTATATCATCTGGGAAAAAAAAGGGGGGAAGTTATATAAAAGAAGTGGGATATGCTAGAGCCGAAGGGTAGACTGGATTTGGGTTTGGTGTGCCGAGGAGTACCGCACGAGAAATGGATGGAGGAAAGAACACACAGGGGATACATTAAGTAAATTCAGTCTGGCGGGTATATGATTAGGAGTAGTGAAAAACAAGATTAGAAAGGCAGTTCATTCAGCTATTATTGTATAAATATTGCTCCCACTGATCCTTAAACTTTTGAGGGTAAGTATAAGGCTATATATCTATCTTAATTAACTACCACAGTGTCTACACCTTAGCTAGTGTTCAATAAATATCTGATAACTATATACATGAAATTATGGTTGTTTGTGGAACACAGATAAAGGAAAGTTTAAGATAGCTCAGTGATATTTCACAGAGGTAATAGAATCTACTATACAAAATTCTGTTTTTTCATCTTCTTGATATGACTGAAACATGGTTTTCAGCTGAGAATACGGTTTACCTTAGGGCCCTATTGATGGAAGTTTTTCATTCTCCCCTGCCCAGTATTGGGTGGTACTGAGGCTGAGGTGCTGGGATTTAAAAAGATCATTTTTCTAGGACCCTTCCACAGAATAAGACACCTGAATGCAAAAGTACTTTCAAAATAATGGAAAATGGGTACTTGTGTTAACTGAGTGTGACTGTAGGGTGAGGCTACTGCATAGGCCAGGTGGAATCGCGATGTTTCCTCCTGGAAACTACCACCACAAAGGAAGGGAAGGAAACCAGAAGTTCCACAGTAGCCAGGAGCATGGCTGTTTTGCTCAGTGAGGTATGCCAGTGCCCAGAGTATACCTGGTATATTATCAATGTTCCACGAACACCTGTTGACTGAATGACTTTCCTGAAGCCTTCCTGGGTATCGAGAACGGGCCAGGTGCTTTCCAGTATGTAATACCATTTAACTCATGCCACGTTCTAATTCCTCTTCAAATACTCTAGGTACTACAGTATAATGTATTTTCCCCAAGTACACTATAATTATTATTTTCTACACACATCTTATTACAGTGTTATATACCACAAAGCCGCAGAAATGCAGTACGACAATTTAAAAATATGAAGAAGCAAAAAACTCACCAGTTGACAACCTGCTTAGAAAAATTTGCCCCTAGGATTCCTATATATATAATTAAACTAAATTGAAACCCTATTGAAATTATTTTTATGTATAAGTGATTCTATGGTCACTGAGAGAAAAAAAAAGTCCAAATATAAAATTTAAATCTAGATGGATGCCAAGAGGAAGACGTTTTCTCTCTTTCACCTGAAGTTATGACACCTACACCTTCTGCTAATGTGAAGAGGAAAGGACGCTCCTGCCAGCACACTCTGAAGACCCAACAGCATAAACGGAAACGAAGGAAACGACTACAAATGAACTGATCTCGTCCTTCACACTGACACCAACCTAATCTGAAAGAATATTAATAAAATCCTCAAAAGAAATCCTACCTCAGCGAATTCTCCTCTGAAATGCGGATTTTTAAGAGTACAATTCTTAAAAAGAGTATAAAGCTTATCGTTTTAAACAACTAAGTTGTCGTCGCAATTGATTCAACTTTAATTGGTTGTACTCACTATTTTCTGTCAAAATAATACTTAAAATTAGCAACTGCCAGGGAAAGCAAGCCAAATGCTGCCTTTCTCGGGAGCTCGGTAAATGTTAAGATAATGACAAAAGTTGTTCACCACCTGCAAACTGGAGTAATCCCCGAAGACTGAACTTGGCTATCGGGGCATATTTGGCAACTGAAATAAAACCGCTGCCAGGCAACCACCCCGTAAAGCCTCAGTGGTGCCATAGGAGACGCTGCCTTGCTGGCGTCCTGGCGCTTCTGCTGTCCCTTAAGACATG